ATTGATTTTACCAGCAATACAACTACTGTGCACTTCAGCTTATCTCTCTGCAATGAGATGCTTCTATCCAATAAAAGAACATGTCTAGGCAGATTGGCTTTCCTCTTTTGTTTACTGTAGGAAGGAACACAGATGGTTCCATTTTCACCCTACAGCATGGGAAGGTCTATATGGTTGTGGTAGACAGAATTCTAAGATGGAGACCAAGATTCCCACCTCTTAGTCTATAAGTCATGTATAATCCCCTATTCTTATGTTTGGGAATGGGTTTAGGAGTATAATGTGTATAATGGGACAGTTACTCCCATGATTATGTTCCATAGCACAGCTGTCTTTAAGAAAGAGAGAAAGGCAGGTTATCACTGGGGTCTGGTCTAATCTGGTGAGCTAGCATCTTCTTGAAGGAGAGCTGAAGCATGGGAGAGATTCAACTCAACAAAGATTGTCCAAAGATAAATTTAAAGATAGAAGATCCCACAGAAATTGGCTAGGAGCAGAAAACAAGGGCTTTAGTTTTTCTACTGAATTCTACTAACAACCTAAATGAGTTTGGAAGTGAATTTTTCTCCAATAAGAACTCATTCTGTCATATTTTGAGGGGGAAAGCTTCAGCAGAGAGCCCAGTTGGCTGTGCCTGCACTTCTGACCTACTGAACCAAGATCTTAAAAATATAAGTGTTGCTTTACACCTCTAAGTTGTGCTCAGTTTTTATGCAGCTATAGAAAAATGGATAAACAAATAGTATTCCAGTTAAATATAATTTAAAAAAAATTTTAGGAAGTACTGTTTTTCTTGTTTGCTCTCTTTCTGCCTTTCTCCAAAGCCTTGATCCATTTCCTTATCATGCATCTTTTTTTTCACTGAATATAACTGTAAAATGCAATTTTGTCAGATTAAAATCTTCTCTCATATCACTTAGAATTATCTCTTTCTCCCCCCACCCCACAGTTGATTTAAGATTCAGAGATGTATGAATGTTGGGTACATTATATACATGTTTGGGCTGGAGAATCAAACCAGAAAACATAGACTTCAAGAATCAAAGCAAACAATCTGTATATTTTGAAGGAACTCAGATATGTTTCATTCATTGCATCTAGTTATCTTGAAACATAGTAACCTTGACATAACCGTTGAAAAAAAGGAGAAGCAATGTAAGCATAAATGCCTGAACATTTTAATATCTTTTATCAATAAACATTACTAGAATGCCATGCATTTGAATTCATGCTTTTCCTGAGGGAAACCTGCATTCTGTCTTCTCTTCCTGATGTTGCAGCTGGATCTTATTACAAGGGTGGGATGCACCATGGGAAGCATGCCTAAACTTTTTAAACTACAGAAGGCAGATCTTCGTTAATTAGAGGTCTAGATTATGCAGAATGAGCATTGTATTATTACATATAATGTGGAGAAAAACACTATTACATGACTGTTCTTAACTCCACCTAGGTAATTTAGTTCAGCCTTATTTTCTTAGATATTCTGTTAACCACAAAGGCAAGATTTGGTGTCAGGTCAAAAATCACATCAAACTGAGGCTTTGTTGTTTTGACTGAGAGAACGCTCTGTAACAAAGGGAACTGAATACACAGTGTGATGTCTTTCTAACATTTAATTCAGAAAAAAAAAATGTCATCTCCAGCCCGGCTTAACGTAGAGCTAATAATGTACTATGTTATGTATGATGCAGATAAGTGAAAATATTAACAAGTAAATGCTTCATAACTAAGACTCACCATTTAAAATCCATATTCTCTTTGTTAAAATTGTGAAATTGGATTAAGAGAGAAGCCACCTAATTTTAGATTCAAACAAATGTGGACAATGGATTTTAGAATGAAGAATAAGTGTGTGGCCATCTGAATAATGATGAGATCTTTTAATAAAAAGGAAGAATTCAAGGAAAAATACTTAAAAGGTCATAATCTAGAAAAATTTCAAAATATGGAGATGCAGGTAAATCACAAGTTAGCTTTAACCAACTTCAACCAAAGCTTTCCCAGGTGCTAAAGTCAGCACTGAAGAAAAGCTATTACAAAGCAATTATGTGAAGTAATTGTAATCTTTGCTTCAACTTCTTATACCTGTGTCTTTGCCATGTATATAATTATGCTGAGGGAAAATACTCCAAGCTCAAATGAGATAAAGGACTTCAGTGTATGCCCGCATGGACCTTGTCAAGTAGCCAATGACTTGCCTTTCATTGTGAGTGACTAATATCAATGCTGGCTCTAAAGAAAGACACTTTTCATAATCGCCCAACAATCTGCTAAGTGAAAACATATGGATTGGCTTAGGCAAAGCCTGCCAGGGGTCTTTGCTGAATGGAAAACAGGTGCTCTCATTCTGGGCCACGTAATACCCCATTTACCCCCAAGTCCAAAGGTTATAGGACTAATAGCTGCCTCGTGGTAATCAGGGAAGCCAAGACACTGGCCCTGCTGAAACATCTGGGACATATTTTACATACTTGCAACATATGCTTCAGGTTCAATTAACATGAGGCTTTGGCACATTTATTAATCTTTTTTACTTTTATCCTATAAGAGGACCCACTGACCTGACCCCACTATTATACCATATGAGAAAACAGAGAAATAATGAGAGCTAGAGGTCAGTACCTGCTCGTATGGTGAAAAACACATTTGTTTTCTTATGAAATTCCATTACGCATGACTCTATACACAAACTTTAAATAGAGGAACCAATGAATTTTTTAAAGTAGGAAATTACTCTTCTCCCATTCAGACACACGGATAGCCAAGACTTAACAATGCAGGGCTGTGACAGCCAGTCAAGGGATGGAAGCCAGTAAATGGAAACTTGCAGGATCCTTTCACGTTTCCATTTCTTATGGTACAAAAACTTTACATTTTAGGATGTCCACTCTAGGATTCTTTCCTCAATTATGCAAGAACTTAAACATCTACTATAATTACTACATTTGATGTTTTTGAAATAAAATTTTAATGTTGATATTGAATTATGGTTGAGAAAAAGAAAACCTATATGATGTCCAAATAAGGAATGCATTTAGGAAAAAAAAATCAGCTCACATTTTTTTTCAGAAGGAAAACACCCTGTGTGTTGGCACCCGGTACAGAAGAATACAGCTGAATTCATGCAGTAAAATAAGCACTCACTTTCAATCAACTTTGGTAACTAGATCTGAAAATGTGTTAGAACCAGGGTGTCAATTCCAGACAACCATATACTAGATTACGATGGATGCTACTCCAGAGATTTGGAGTTGTTTTCCCACTCGCATGTTCCACTTGACATCTATGTTTTGGTGAGCTGGTTAACTAGGTGTGTATTTGTTTCCCAAGCCTAACATCCTCTCTGTTGAAAAAAAATGACCATAAAAAGAAAGATTAGAGGTGTAGAATATCAGCAAGCTGGCTAAAAATATATAGGGTGACTTCAAGCAGGGACATTGAAGTACTAGACTTCACCAAGGGTTTCCATTTATTAACATTTCTGGGGAAACGCCTGCTGCTGGGATGGATCTTTATGGTGGCTTTAATAATAAAGCAGCAACAAGCAAGGGGAAATGGCCATAAATGGATGGCAGCTCAGTGTTTATCAGCAGAGAAATGATGATTCAGAGCTGGCATGTTGAGTTAAAATACAATCTCTCTACAGCTCCACAACTGACCTTAACAATAAATCATATCATTTATTGCCAGAAGTGTGTGCTCATGTTATTTAACATTAAAAACAAGCACATATGTGTTTTTTGCAGGAAGAAGATTTTGTTAGTTTATGTTTGATGATGTTGCTAATAACTGAATGATGTACAGAAGGAAAATTTCACATAAAAGCTCTGTCAAAAATGTTTGAAATAGCATTAGAAGGGAGAAGAGGGGAAAAGCCCGCATGTGTGTGTTTATTTTCCTTTAAGCACTGAATATTATTCAGGAAAAGAGTCATTTGTGAAGTTAACTAATCCCTGTGATTTTTTTTTTGGACACCTCTAGTGCTTGCTTCCAAAACAAATTCTTGAGGACATACCTGTATATCTCTACTGGAACCAAAGGTCAAGGGCATAAATTGAGATACATTGTTTTTCTCCTTCAAAAAATTTCATTGCTTTACTATAACAGAAGTCAGATTCTGGTGAAGGTCAAAATCTGGCTTTATTTGCCAAACAATGTTCAAAGAAATAATGATATTCTCTCCCTGCCTCTGATTTCACCTTAAGACTTTGTAGATTTTAGGTCTAGAAATGACAGAGGTCATGATGTAACAAACGGCCATAGAAAGCTGTTCTTCCAATACCAGCCACAGCTGCAGTGGTGCAAGGTCGTTCTAATTCTTCCCCCTAGCTGTCCCCTCTCCCCAGGGGACAACCAATCCAAGCAGTCCTAGAAACTAGCTGTTATTTACTGTGGTCAGCCTCCCCAAGCCCACCAGCAATTGAAGTAGTAGCCTCAGCCTGAATGGACTTCCCTGATGGAGGAGCCATGGGGTCATTCCAAATCTAGACAAGGCCACTGGACACCAGGGTTATTTAAATGTCCTCTTGAGTGCTCCACACACGTGTTCTTTTGCTGAGCAATTCTTTGAAAATTACAGATGGCAATATCCATGCTCAACTCATGCAAGGCTGCTGATTTTTTCACTCCCCTCTTCCCCCAAAGCATAGAACCATTTGTAATACTCAAGATAGGACAAATTTTTGCCCTTCAAAAACAGTTGTCACTGCCGTTATCTTCATGAGAGCTATCAAGTTCCAGACAAGCTGAATTATTTTATTTTATTTTTTTTTGTTCCTGGCAGAAAAATATTTGACCCAGCTCTGGACAAAAGCGAAGAGGATTTATAGCCCTCTCTCCCTCTTTGCAACATGCAGTGGCATTGTTAGGATGATAAACAGCACTGTCCAATTTTCTGGACTCAAACACTTCAACTCCTTTTTTAACTGTCTGTGAAAACAGTGTCATGTCTACATTTCCCCATCCCCAGGTACCCAAGTGCTGGGAAAGATAATTACCTTGTCATCTTTGTCATCTTCTTCTTCCTCGTCCTCTAGCATGTCCTCCACTACCTGCAGACAGAAACACAAGTTGTTTTTGTGCTCCTAAAGGACAGAATTTTGTCCTGTCATTTTGAACCTTTTGGAAATGAAAATTTTATTAACATTTGAAACACATGCACTGGAGAAGGAATGTTTGATCTAGAGATGGACATTAGGAAAAGGCTGTCTTTAATTGTTTAAAATCAGGTAACAGAAGCCCGATCAAGGGAACCCTATTCATGCAAAATGTTTTGTGACAAAGAATTTGAAATATGTGTAAGGCAAACTAACATCAATTTGGAGGATGCTTTACATCAGGAAATCTCCTTTCTACCTATTCTGCTGTCAATATTAATCAGGCACTCTAAATTTAGAACTAGATAACTAAGCATGAAGCAACTCTGTTATTTCTAATTTACTTTTTGCTAAACTCTTAGATTAAAAAAAATCTGTTAATCCATTCATGCTGATGGCCTATGGTGTAAAACTAAATGTCTTTTATAGTTCAAACTTCAATTCAGTTTTGTGGATTACCTGAATATTTCATTTTGGCTCTGTGATTTTACACAAAGATTATGAGGATTGTTAGTAAAAGAAATTTAGAAATGCATTCTATAATCAAATGTGCATAATATATGCACCTAACTCAGACAAGTGGATATGCATATGCACTTTTAATGGCTCCTAATTCACCTATATTAGTAGAATGGAAGAGTCATTCTGGATTTGCCAAATAATTTTCGTTTGCTTTGGTCAATATATAACTGCCGGTATTAATAATGGGATTTCATTAAAGTTTTTTTTATGACTTTATAGACTTACATAAACATACACACGTGCACCCCAGGGAAATTAAAAACATAAAAAATAAACCCTCTACAGTTGGGATTCTTATTCAGGTAAGTTCCAACTTCTTGTATATAACATTTTATATACTTTCTAAATTTTTATTGTGTTTTTTCCTAATCCAATCTGAGTATCTCTAAATAGTTAGCACATATTTGAGAACATTTCTTTCAAAGCTTGTAACTTTGGAAGATAAAGACAACTAGCCCTTCTTTTAGGAGACTTTTTGATATAAATAGGAATAGCTTATGAGTGAAAATTTCAATCACCAAGACAGTATTATGCAAAGATTGTATAAACTGAGATGACATATCTGAATTCTCAGTTATTCCTAATATTTTTCTGAAATATTCAAAAAGCATTCAGTGATTTAAAAAAACCCAACACACACTTCCAGGTCTCATGAACCAATATAAAACTAAGCTATCTAAAAAACTGTGAAATTGTTTCTAATTTATGTCATACATAACATCTTCTGTTCAACAGTAGGATTTTGTGGTCTTTCATTTTGACATCAGCACTTCAAAAGAATCATAGAACAGAGTAGGGTCGAAGAGCATGAGAAGAAGATTAACATTAAACAGGGATGAGAGGTGGGAGGGAAAGGGAGAGAGAAGGGAAAATGCATGGAAATGGAAGGAGACCCTCAGAGTTATACAAAAGTACATACAAGAGGAAGTGAGGGGAAGGGGAAAAATAATACAAGGGGGACAAACGAATGTCAGTAGAGGGGGCAGAGAGAGAAGAGGGGAGGGGAGGGGAGGGGAGGGGGGATAGTAGAGGATAGGAAAGACAGCAGAATACAACAGACACTAGTATGGCAATATGTAAATCAATGGATGTGTAACTGATGTGATTCTGCAATCTGTATATGGGGTAAAAATGGGAGCTCATAACCCACTTGAATCAAATTGTGAAATATGATATATCAAGAACTATGTAATGTTTTGAACAGCCAACAATAAAAAATTAAAAAAAAAAAAAAGAATCATAGTAGCCCAACATACTTTTTCCAATGTATGTTGAGTGCTTATACAACTTTGGGAACATGTAAAGCAATTTGAATTGTGGTTGACCTAAACAGGAAATATGAACTCTTGATACTCTAACTATTTTCAGCCACTCCATAAGCATTTATTGTAAACCTCCTTATCCAAGGCACACAATTCTAGGTAATGTGAAAATACAAATAGAAACAACACATAGGTACTTGTCTAGCCTCATATAGGCCCTATGGAATGTAAACAGGGACCAGCAGATAAGCCATCATATTAATTTTTAACTTTCTTTAACCTGAATTATGTGCATCACAAATATACAGACATTAGTAATGACAATGTGTAATTGAGGAGATGTATGCCAGGCTATTCCTTATTGGCCTATTTGCGATGGAGGTTTAGAAAGGAAAAGAAGCCACAGTGTTTCAATGCATTGTATTACATCAAGATTTCACCTAACCCTTGCCAGATTTTTTAAAAAAATGATTATTTTCTACTTCTAATAAAATTATCTTTAGGTGCTGGATGTGGTGGCATGTACCTGTAATCCCAGTGACTTGAGAGGCTAAAGCAGGGAGATTAAAAATTTGAGACCAGCCTTAGCAACTTAGTGAGGTCCTAAGCAACTTAGTGAGACCTTGTCTCCATTAAAAAATAAAAGGGGCTGGAGATGTAGCTCAGTGGTAAAGCACCTCTGGGTTCAATCCCCAAGTATATACACAAAAGAATTATCTTTAAAGTTTTGGATTTAAATGAAGTTTTTTTTTTATTGCTAAAACTATCCATGCAGTCATATCAAATATGTCAAAGAAAATAAAATATTCTTTTACTCCTTTTATTCCTCTGACTAAACTCAAGAAGTATTATATATAACTAGTTATTAAAAATATATCATATACCTCCTCTTACAGTACTTAGCATCCTACTGCAGATACTACAAAGGCAGAATGGTGTCAAATTGTATCTAGCAGATTGCATAATAGGTGTTCAAGAAATATTTTTTGATCTAGTGGATAAATGACTGCATCATCCATCCTTCATATCTTGGAACACACTCTTTGGTAAAGTGCCTATCATTTATCTCACAAACCTGACTTAGCTCACTTCGAAAGAATTATACCTAATCAACTTAATAAAGGCAAATATTCAAAATGCTTTCAAACTTTTTCCTGGAAATAGAACCCATGAATATTTAATCTTTAAGATCTGGGGATATCTACTAACGCCAAATTAATTTTTAAAAATTCCAAGTATGATTGAACCATGAAACAAACTACTAGCGTAATTTACACACTTTGTAAATCAGCTGTGGCTCTTATGTTCAAGTATGAGTCAAAGAAGCCTACAGAATCAGGCTCTTCATTTGCAAAACCCAAACTGTTCTTTCCCTGCACAAGTGGGTAATTGGCTATGCACAATTGCTCCACAAATGTGCAGCCAGAACCACCCAATACAACCATTTGCTTTTACATTTGGCAGAAAAGTGTTGTGTTAGTGAGAGGCCTTTGTGTTGTGTTTTAGCGCTCTAGTGAGGGCTTTTCCCCTCCTCCAGTGCCTCCTTAATGTTATATCATGAACATCTAAAAGTGAGGATTTAAAATACAGATAGTTTCCTGTTGATGCCTTTTAGCTGCTTCAGAATGCACGCCCCCCCCCCCCCCATTATATTTTTTTCAGGTGAAGCTTAAGTTGCCTTGAAATGGAGATGATAAAGCCCTGATCATCTGATTAAAGTCCAAGGAGATCATGTCTGTAGAGTGTTTAGCACAGTTCCTGTATCAAAAGAAGTTCTCAAAAATATTAGCTATTGATAAAATAACATCAACTTAATATTTTAACACTGAGTTTTGGAAATTAAATTGCATCTTTTTTTTTTTTTTTTAACCTGGGCAGAATATCTTTTGTTCTCAATGACAAAGTTCTGATTCATGTTTTCACTGAAAATAAGGAAAACACATACAGGCACAAGGAGAGGTTTGGGTAAAGATTCCAAATTAACATGATGCTGCTTTTTTACAACTAGTTTTCAGGCGTTAGTGGCCTGGTGAAATGGACAGCCCTGAGAGCAAGAGTGTCTCAGAAGCTGAGCTTTAAGACTTGAGCTCCAGCCAAATGCAATGGACATAGAAACCACAAACTGTGTTTTAAAAAATAAACTGTGTAAGGCTGGAGATGTAGCTGAGTGGTAGAGTGCCTGCTTAGCGTGTGTGAGGTCCTGGGTTCAATCCCAGGACTGAGAAAGAAAACAAAAACAAAAACAAAACAAACCTGTATATGTCACAGAAGTGCATTTAACGACTGCATAAAATGTAATCTTTCCCAGAGAACTTAAATAACACCTGCTACTTAAAAAGAGAGTACTGGAATTTAACACTTAACTTAGGAAAACAAATAAAAATACAGGAGACCTAGTCTCAAATTCAAGCCCTTTCCTCTTCAAATAAAACCAAATAAGCATTACATAGTTTTGTTTTCAAATATTGCAAGTCCAATTGCCCAAACATTTGTCAGCAATGATTTAATAACACACACACATACACACACACACACACACTCTCACACACACACACTTCCTTACAGGGGGAATGACAAAAAATTCAGGTGATAGAAAAGATACGTTTGCAAAGTTCAGATTTTTTTGTTTTTTCTTAAAAGGGAATATCTCAGACTGGCTCTGGAATTCTCTTTCCAAATTATGCTTTCTGATACGTTGCTTGAAAGCAAGTAGTATTAATCAAACAAAGGAAGGGCACTAGGGAAATCAGAAAGATGTAATGCAAGCAGTTAAAAGTGACATGACCTTCTGTAATGTCGCTCGTCACAGACTTATATGCCACACACTGGAGGAAGGTCTTGAAAGAACGGATTCCTGGTACTATTCCTTGAATGTAATACTAATAAAGATGACATTTTAAAAAACACACATAGACAGCCCCAAATGTAGTGTGCCAGCTACATTACAGCCAAAGAATAAGCAGATAACATTATTTTAAAAAGCATAATATTTCTTCTTCCATATCCAATATTTGTTGAACATTTGTCATTAAGATATAAAACATAATATGTAGCTATACATTTAAGAATCTATTTCCAAAATGGAACAAAATTGCTTCTACAGAATATCTTTTATATATTTTTTTTCTAATTTTGTAAGATTTAATTGTAATCCAACACAAATCTGTGATT